AGGTGCTGCAAGATGTGTGAGTGTAAAATTAGGCTCTCCAAAGTCTCATTATGGATATCTAAATGAATTCCAATAATTCTTTCCATTTCCGTGGCGATGAGCAGTATTTGATAGTTATACACATTCATTTGCATTGCTAATGTACAATGGAAGCCTTCCAAGTTTCTGAAGACGTTGATACAGCCTGCACAATTTAAAAAATTGACACAAAAATGCTGAAAGACTTTTTCATTTGCTTTGTTTTATTATGCTCAGTGGGGACTTTAATGATTTTTGCTGAAATCTAACTAACGGAAACCACATATACTTTTGGTCATACCTCCCTTAAAATCAAATACTTAAAGAAGGTGGGAAATGTGTGGCAATAAGATTGGCAATTCATTTTACAAAAAATTTCAGTAAATAGGAAAACAGGTTCAAAAATCATGGTGATAAGGGAGATTTCTGTGTGGGCCACCATCTGTCTGACGGTTGTCTAGGCTGTACCCACTGGTTGTCAGCTGCAGGTGTTGTCCCGTGGCTGCACCATCCGACAGTGTCTGGTGAGAGTAGACTTGATGATAACCGTAATTGTAGCATTCGTACCCCGTTGACTGGAATGTGTGTGCAGCGTCCTGTGCTTCACATTCCACATGTCCAATTGTGTACCTTTGGTTAGGAAGTGGAGGCTGAACGTCTGTCAAAATATCTCTATCATTTGGTGAAAATCTATTCACCGTGCTATTTCCACTGTCTGTCTCCTCATAATTACCCAACAGGGAGGGAGAAGTGGTTGAATGACTTTCATTGACTATCCCTGTTTGAATACTAGGATTGTTCTGCTGATGCTGGTGATTGTGATGGATATCGTTTTGTAGCCAATTGTGCCCCTCTGACCTTTGGGACATGTTCGAGTTACAATGCCAGTAAGCAGCGGGATTTGATAAATATGGCTCGATTTTTGCCTCTTTGAGATGGGTAGTCTGCTGCCAAGTCATTTGGTTGGTGCTGCTAGTGCTGCTGCTAGCAGATTGAAGGTCAGTGCTAGTACCTGAGACCATGACAGAGAGAGAGGCAAGACGCGTGCGAGCCTCGTAGTCTCGCCTGTAGATGCAAGCGTGGAGATGAGAAAGCAGCTTCTTCCGAAATACCTCGTCCATCGTGCTCACGACCGGCAGTGCGCTCAAAAAGCGCGTCACCTCCGCGAAGCACTCTTGAAATCCGAGAAGCCGATTCTCTAACAGTCGCAGTTCTGTATTTAGGACGGTGCCTTTAGTGAGTGGGAAGATAGTATTGCTTCATTTGCACATTCAAAGGCAATTTTAATAGAACTACATGCACATTATTATCAAAGCATGTCATCCGCAAGGTAAATTTCACTGTTTGCGTGTTTTGAAGCAGTTTTAATTTCAAAACGCTACAGCTCCACTTTGTATAGTGGAAGTGTATCCGAAATAATAATAACAATAATAAATTTATGCATGGAATCACTAATCAAATTGAATACGGTTCACTTTTCAATGCTTACAAGAAATACTAACTACTATCAAGAGATCATAGAATTCGTGATTTACATTCTTCGTTAGAACTTAATTGGGATCCGAAAAAAATGCTTCAAATGATTAGCTGCTTGAAAAGCCAAATAAATGTGGCTGCTACTACTTGCAAGCATTTGCTCACCATCTCTGTGAATCCGGTGTAGAAATTCGACTGTCATTTGCAAAATTTCCGCCTTTTCTAGTTTAGTTGAAGTCTGCCAAATGATCAAAAATACAAAGAAAGACGTGTTCAAACATCTAGTTAGTAGTATTTTGGATAGTTAGCGGACTTTTAGCGATGATTATGCGAGAATACGTAAGCAGGTAAAATGAACAATACCTAGCTACGAAAGTATTTATGATGTTCGTTTAAAAAATCATCTTTGCAAGGTGTATAGCGCAATCGTTTATTTCAGTTTCTATCTCCGCCCAACACTACTTATTGTGTCTGTACAAACCGCTCCTCATCTCACCACCGTCACCCACTTCCCGTCTTGGTCTCCCTTCCATCACCTTTCTGCCCGGTATCCAACCCTACCAGGTGGCGATCTGCGTAGCCAGCTGCCCAAAGCAATTAATGGGAAACTGAGTCCCCATGTGGGAGCATTATTAATAGTGCGCATGACGAGAGCCGCGGTGACCCTCACGCATTGGTCTGCGCTTCTAACACTTTTCATGCATTAGACTCAATCAAGTATATGTGGACTGACTTCCCAGAGATGACATTAATGCAATGCCGTCGACGCAGATCCTTTCACTACGTATCTAAAGATTGGTGTTGGTGCCTAATCGGCAGACTTCAGAGGAGTAGATTACGGAAAAAACAAATCGCCTGATTTGCTATAAAGAACCTTTGAATTAATAGTCCACTACTCTAATTAAGAGTTAAATAATATAAAGCGGTAAAATTTATGCACAACATGGTTGCAGAGAGAAGTAATGGATGTGATAGCATGGGTTCATACATGTCGCCTGCGGCACTGCAATCTCTTGCAACCTATTTTAAGTGGGAGAAAAAGGATAGAAAGCATTTAATTACCCCGCCTCCGTTGTACACAAAAGAGCCTTAGCTGAAGATTAAGAGTTGCCAAGACGAGCGACTGGCCACTGGCCCCGTCTGTCCCATCAACTTTAAACCCCTGCTTTCTCGTTATGTGCGACTACTCAGGCGAGCACCTGCGGCCTTTTGCGATTGAAGAAGACACTTAAGTGGTTTCCTCTAGCTTTAAAGGACGCGTGGAAAAGTATTAACCCTATTTACCCTATGCATAGGAATAACAAGATTTCACTGAGCCGATTACTGGCAATGGTTTTTAATCTTTTTGCGTAACCAAAAAATAATGTTTAAAAAGTTTAGACTGTTTACTTTCAATTGTGTTAATTTAGAGTAAATAGCACCTAACTAATTTAACAGCGTATAAGTTGAAGGACATCGTAGTAGAGGATTGGTCTCCATTACTGAATGACTACGTGCTTATTTGTACGAACCTTGTGTGCCTTTAAGTTACTTTTTCGGCATGACCGATGCCCACTTTAATTTGACCATGAAATAGAGGAGGAGAGAAATGTCTAGAAGGGGCAAGGTCTCCGATCCCAATCCCACTATTAGAAAGAAACTACGATGGCATTTATTAATGCCATCCGAACGAGAACAGCAGTGCCACGTGGTAGTCTTGAAACACCCACTTATTGTATAAACGGAAGAAGACTTGCAAAAAAAATTTAGAAAAGTGATGGAGTGTGCTAGCAACCGCTTTAATATGCTTGATGGACGGCAATTTTTGGAGTTAGGACTGAAATTCAAATAAATCGTGTTGATCATAATTCGAGATCTCCACAGTGCAGTCCCAAAAATTCTGCGTGCTTTTTATCCTGAGCAAAGGAATGTAAGTCGTTGCGTGAGGGAAGAATGGAGAAATTAGACATTACACGATCCTATAACCAGTCTGACATGTCTTGGAGCAGGCTGCTACATATTTTTATCCTGATTTGGCACGGTTACGCCTACAATAACCGATCCCTTTTAGGGCCCTCTTTTAAATGGGAACTCGAAGTGACTACGATACACCCGATTTGTCTTAATATGCATAAAAGTCTAAGAGTTAACCTGCTTTTGGGCTGCGTCCGGTACAAGTCGACGAAGTTCACTGAGGTTAAAATTTATCCTGTCTCGGCGGCGCTTTTCAATAATCTGTAATGATTAAGGAAGGGTAGTAAAATACAACTTTGTAATGAACAATAGTGACATTTGTAGAAATGCGAATAAGGAGAGAACACAACAACGCACTCCTCGCCTTCTTTTCCTATCTAAACCGTTGTATTCACCATAGGAACTAAAAGAGAGGACAACAAATTATGTGTGGGTATAATTTTATCACTTTAGCTCCACTTGTGCAAAGATAACAGAGCTTTACATTAATGTGTCGTTTTGGTCAAGCTGGTTATCACGTTCTTGCGTGTCTATTTTAGCCTAAATCACCGGTCATGTATCTATTTTTATTTTAAAATGTTCAAGTATGTATGTTGGCTTTAGTGAAGTTTCCATCCCATTAACTTAACTTTACAGTTTACTACCACAATAAGTTGTTTGCACTAGGCTAATTACTGATTCGTTAGAAGATTTTAACAAATTCAGTGCCATATGACAAGCAAAGTTATAACAAGCTCCTTTCAAAAAAGAATTTAAATCTAAAAATTTCGAGGCAAAAAATTAAGGGCCAAAACAATTTATGGCAAAACCTGTGCACCTCGGTGCAACGCGAGTGAATTTATAAAATGAAATGGAGTGATGTTCTAGTGGCTAAAAGATTTGATACTACTGCATCATTGTGCGCTTTTCGCCACTTTATTAATCTACTAGCACCGTTTGAGAAGTCTGAAATTGGCAGGAATGAAATTATTGTCAAAATCTGGAGCTAAAGGTGTCGAATGCTGTGGCTAACGACAGATTGTTCAGGTTTAACCCCGCTTTAATAAGGTTACCGTCAAAAAGTTAAAATGAAACAGATATGATACTCAGTAGGAATTTCGCTTACAATGCCTTCTAATGAGTTAAAACCATCGAATCAGGAAGTAAAAAGAGTAAATCAACGTTTAATCTTACCCGTTATCGTCGTCCTCAGTATCATCATCAGGAGGAACACAACGTTTTTCGTGGGCTCGCATTCGAAAAAAAAGGGGATTAGTGAATCCAAGATCGGAACGATTAGTTAAGAGCATTAGGAAACAGTCAAGCTATTTGGTATGGGGATTGGTTTGGGTAAACTCGGACACCATTACGATTGGTCGGGAATTGTGGCTGCCAACCAATGAAAAATGGAGTGGACCTGTTTTGCGTTCGAAATGCTCCTTAACCTGGACAAATGGTACAGGGATATTCGCAGTTCACTTTGATGTTCGTACTTTGAAGAAGTACAGTTTTAGCTTCACTAAAATTGCACCTTTTACAAAAGTCTTCGCAGTCTAGTCTGAAAATATGAGTAAATAGAATTTTACTGCATAGTAAATAATAACTGATGATGGAAGAATTATAACAACATCTTTTGTAGCTTATTAGCTGAGAAATTAAAATTGTAGACCAAAATAGGGGCCCTATCATTGTGGATTAAATTGAGCACACTCGAATGATCCATTACTTGAAAAATTTTGCCAATGTTATGCATAAAAGAAAGACTTACAACACCCAAAAAAGGCTTAAGACTAAGAAAATTCTGCTCTTCTGTGTGCTAATGATAACCATTCATCCAATTCTCAATAGGATTTCATTTTGTAATTAAGGGAAATACAATTACAATAAGGCCTCAGCTTGCCACCTGAGCTCTTCTTCTTGTCATACACAAATCTCACAAGCATCAGGTTCCTTCATAGACTACCTTGTTACATCAATAAATTATATACACAGTCAAATTTATTAAAGCCATGCCCTAGCAATATTGTGGAGAAACTACAGTTCATGTATCAATACTTTTGAAGTGAAAAATCACAAACACTCCACAGTAGCATTCCTGGAAAAAATGGACCTTCTCTTAAAACCTACTACTTGTGAAGTTACGAGGAAGGACTGCACATGTCACAACAGCAATGAAACATGCTTTTTACAATTAATTGACCTCTACTAAGCACAAATTAATGGCCCCAAAATGTTTATTTTAAAAGTAGCTGCTTTCACTCATGCCTTTGCCCCCAGGAGACGGGTTAATCTTAGTTACCTTAAGGCGGCGTTGACACGTGTCAGAGTGAAATTGATGATCATTTTGGTATATTTAACCCCAGCAATTAGCAAACAGCATTGCACTAGCTGTCAATATGCAGGTTAGAGCAGTTACTGAACGTCAGCTACGTAAATATTTTTTAAAGCTGCAAGTTTAATGCTTACATGGGTCGGTGCAGGCTTTGTGAAGAGGAAGGAATGCAGAGGTGATGAGTGCATTTGATAACCCTTAATCATGAATGTTAATAAGCTTCAGCATAATGCCTTTCCATTCCCAATTTAAATGCTTTGGCTGACGTGTTGTGCCTGCTCACTTTGCCCCACAATAGCTCCGCCCATAGCGCGGTCTTGGAATGCTTTTCATGGGAGAAGTTCAAGCTATTGCTGCAAGTGGAACGTTATTGTCTTCCATGAGGTCTATTTGTCGTTAAATTTTTGTATTTAACTTATTGTCATCACCTACCTTCTGAACTGCTGAAGTCTTGAGAAAGTGGTGAAAAATAGTGGCATTTAATACATACTTTGCAGTTTCGTATGCTGATTGCTCAGAAAAGTTGGGTTTGATTTACCCACCTGATTGAGGTTACATTACCCATAACAGCAATAACTATGATTTTAAAAAATGAGAAATTTGGCTCCTATTCCAAACTACCTCAGTTGATCCATCCGCATAGAGCTAAAATGTGGTTAAAAAGTACGCTTTGATGAAATTCGCTGGGCGCCAACTGTTTAATGTGCCTCAATAGGCATGTGAAGATGACATTTGCGGCAAAACAATTCATCTTATTCCTCGCATTACCATACTGCTCGCTGAATCAAAACTTTAACGAAGATAAAAACTTTCCAGTCCAGTTTCATATCCTTTGTATGTGCATCGAAAATTGATCTCCAACCCCCAATTCGGCAATGATGCGCTCACATAAATATTTGACAGCTAATGCATCTATTCTCGTAAACCAGCTCAACAAGCATAAACACGCCCTTGTGTTTATAGCAGTCAGGTTCAAGTGTGATCATGACTTGGTTATAGAGAATTACCCTCCCTTTACAATCCCAAAACTCCCCTTTCCCTTCGAGAAAACTGGCAATTAAGGCTCAATAAAATGTGTAATGACCTGAGCGGAGGTGAGACGAGGGAGGTGATGGATTGTTGACTCTAAGGGGAACCATGCTAGTGGAATGCACAAACTTAACCTGATGTTTATTACAGATTGTTGTTCCGCTTTGTGAATTAGGTTTAATGATAAGGCTTCCATTTTGAAAGTAAAAGTGAAATGATTGTTGCTCTTGCACATCGCTAACACGCTGCAGTAATGCGTTTCATTCAAACAAAAATGTATTTCCAAAACCTGACTTCTTTAATTTTACTGGTAAATTTGTATAAGGAATGCTAAACAAACAGCTATTGGGACTTGCTCTTCCGGGATTAATGGCAGTGCCGAGTTTTTTACTAGGGCTTTTCTTTACTTAAACGTATCATGAGTGATCAAATGTGTAGGTGGAGCATTAATTCTGACATGCATAGCCGCTCTCACTCAAGGGGCATCTCTCGTCTCTTTTGTTGTTTAAAGTCAACTAAGCTGTGGATGCTTCAATTTGATGGAACGTTGGGCATTGCTTGAAGAAGCATGCAAACCGGTAAATGTTCAACTAGAATGGTGATTGTAAAGCGCTTACTTACGAGACGCACATAAGTTTGTGAACGACGCTATCGCATAATGATGTTTGCTTGAATATTCCCCCAAGCAAGGAAGAGTTCAGCTTGTTGAAGTCTGTGATGGAATTGACTTTTAACTCTGAAGTAGGAACAAACAGTAGTCCTTTTCAAAAAACTGTCAACTTATAAATTGCAAAATTATTGCAAAACTAAAAGGTGGCATCTTCTGCATACCATTCGCGATCCACTAATGCAAAACCTATTCTCGCAGAATGCTACAGTGCTGTACGGAAGGAGGAACTCACAATGTAAGACGCTTTGACAAATTTTAAACAATGTACTAGAATGCATATGCGTATTGCGAATCTGATAAATGTTGTTGTAACTACAGTAAGCTCAATCTCTGTCGAAAAGAAGATATCTTAAACTGTCACCTGTAGGGTAAAGATGCATTGCAGACGAGGAAAGTCACGCTGTCAACAAGTCACTTCGTATCAAGCACACAACCCCTTACTTAGTCGATAGCTACCAACAACAGCAAACTAGGCCCCTGCAAAGGCACACAAATAGCCGGATACGGAGATGAAACCTTCAAGTCAATGAGAAATGAGAAGCATACAAATGGAAGAAATCCAAACACAAAACCACCTCGGCAACTTGTATGACTCCACATAAATGCGAATACATACGGTGTCATCATCTACAGACTCACCTTATTCATAGGGTGCGAAAGCAGAAATCCAAATTGCTTAATCATTTGCGATTGTTACAATGCTAATTTATTTTTAAGATCCAAACACCGAGTGAAAATCTTTTCACAGCTTTGAGAAGTGGATGCGAGGCTAAAAATAGGCACTTACCGTACTACTATCTTACAACATTCATTGGAAGCAAGAGGGTAGAAAACCTCGTTCCTAAAGAAAACCTCAAGTTCCTCCAAGCAGACGGACGTCCAGCGCTACTGCTCTCCTTGAGACTGTGCAAGGTAGCCAGAAGGAGGGAAAGGCCAACAGCGTATGTGCTACATTAACGACAGTAGACTAATTGGTTGCGGACATGTCGGTTACTACCAAGACCCTGACAAAGATGACGAGCAACGTGCTAAGAGCCCTCAAACCTGATAGGATTTTTTGGACTAGGCGGAACTACCCATAGGAGAGCAGCCCAATCCCTCAAAATTGCTGAGAAACTTTAAGACATTAAGACTATTAAACTTAATCAGCTGGTCGAATTTTCACTTCGAATAAGGTTCCAGAAATTTTATTGCACTTTGCCTTGTCTGACCCCTGAACAACGAGCTTATCCATGATCAGGCGAGCTTTCCTCTTCCCTATTATACTTGCTTTTGACAGCTATTGTTTCATTATCCGAATACGCGGCATTAAAAAGGGACAAACATGCCTCATCATTTTGCAGCAAAATTCAGAGCTTTTCCTTTTCCACGTATAAAAACGCCTACATACAACGATTCAATGGTCCAAAAGTGCAGCAGGACGTCGTACAGACGAACCTCAGTAGGGATGGAAGACATTAAAAATGAGCACCCCATTTTTGAGAAGGTTTATCAAACGTCAGATGAGCTCTGATACTCGAGAACTTCCTAATACTTTCCAATGCATCCATCGCATCCTCTTCCAGCAAAACGGCTGGTCAAATATGGCAAGCGCAGTCAAAACTCTACCTAGGGGATGCGGTATTAAGATGCCAGGAAGTAACCAGGTCTCTTTGTCACTTGGTAAATCCTGGTCCATTAGTAGAGAACCCTTAGAGTGACATAATAAACTGAGTCATGTGGTAAGTGTCTCTAGTGGGAGAATACAGGAGAATTCGAGTATCCCAAACCTACTGGATATCTACAAAACCTTTTTGTTTAAGTGGACTTTCATAGGAGAGAGGCGAGAACCAATTGGGGACGTAAATCACGTGCGCGAAGACGGTGAGGAGTCTCGCTCCAGTTGATATCTCCGATTCGGCTCATCTGCATTCCAATCCCCATTCTTCCTGTAACAAATGCCAGATAAATAATCTACAACCAACCATCTCTTGAAGTATGAGGTTCACGAGCCAGAGGGCACGTAGGCAGCTCTTACAACCTCTACTACGCGTAGCATTTCCAAGGAGAGATAATATTATTGCGACCAAAACTCATGGAATTTTGCAGCATGGACCAACTACCACCCACTAAGAGGCGAAATTAGTTTAGTGTGATCTTAGTCGATTGTTGATATAAAAAAGACGCTAAAAAAGTCAAGTAATTTTTCGTCAATCTTTAAGCTTGTCACCAAGATGTGTTAGAATTGAAGGTTTGCTACTACGTCTCATAATTCAAAAAACAAACTTTTCGACTAATTGCACTACAATACCATGTTTAAGCGACCACCTGATGTCTGACACTTAAATTAAGAATCGTCCGACTCTTGTATGTGTGGGCTGGCCTTTGGATCAGGTTCGGGCTTTATTTCCTTACCCTCTCTAGGATGAATGTATTCAGCTCCACTTAATGCATTCTTCTGCCCAGTGGAAAACCTTGGAACGCTACACTCAGAGATTTTTGAGACACAAAGATATTTGCGAAACATAGACATGGCTTAAAAAACGAATCGAACTCCGACTAGATTATTGATGGCTTCCCCTATTGATGCATAACCTTAAGAGTGCAAGTTAAGTTTGGAAATGCTCTCTTCGTTTACGGGTCTACGGCGCATATCTCATCTGAGATTTGCGCCTTTCGTAATACTTATGTGTGGCTGTAACGACAAATGTTTCCTCAGAATAGTCCATGCGTCTCAAAAATGCACAAGTAAAAGTTTGGTGCCATGAAGACTCGAATGCAATACCTTGTTTATTGGACTACCTGTGTGAATGGTGATCGCTTTGTGATTTATCATACCCTTTATCAAGAGGGCTAGGTTTGAGCCTAGCTAAAATCCAAAAGTTCCTACGTGTCCTCGATTATACGCGTTCGGTTCTGATTAATTTCCCCTTTTACTACATTCGAAGTCCTGCAACTTCGCAAGAATGGATTAGTTGGCGTCTTCAAAGGCTGCCCATTCGGAAATAGAATGCGCTTATGCAGACATAAAAGTTAGGAAGTGGAGTTTTAGATCACTCTACAGAACCATGGTGATAATAATACAAATGAAGTACTACATTTATTATTTTAAAGTAGTTGACCTCGTCCATTGCATCGAATAAACACATCTTCGGCAAATTATGTCGGTTATGTTTTGTGCGAAGTGGCTTTACCTTCAGTTGATTGCATTGTGTTTTAGCACATAGCTCAAATCCCAAATTAATTAATGTTTCAAGCCAATACTTTGGCAAGAGCAAATTGCCATGCTTGTTTAAAATGACGCATTTTACATGTTATCTTTCGGTATTTTGAATCGGTGGTTCGAATCCCCTTGAAATGTTGGTTTTCCGCAATTCATGTTTTAACTTTTTTAACTAGGCCGAGGAATAATCGCTACGACGATTACCACGAGAGGCAAGTGGCATCTTCGGTTGATTTAACGTGTGTAGGGGCTCTTACAAGGATTACTATGACTATGACGATTTCCCCAGGCATTCTGGCCATTCAAATCCATCACATAAGTCGAAATCTTCCACTCATCGCCATAGAGACTACGATGAATCGCATTTTTCCAAAAAACGTTCAATCAAACGGCGGTCCTCTGAGGACTGGAATGACGATCATTCTCGGTACGAGGAAGACTCACCCAAGAGGTAAATGTCTAGTTTGATAACTCTCCTTAGGTCCAGAAAAAATCGTTCCAAGAATGGTCACCATGACAGAAAGGATACTTATTCTCGTGATAGGTCCCCAGATTGTACCGACATAAATGCCTATAAGTTTCAGGCAAGCATAATGTCGGAGTTAACAAAACATCCAAATTTTAAAGAACGACACGGTAAAACTCGAAACGTCTCAAATTTGCCGAAGGATATGGAGAGTGAACGTATTAATGGCTTGTCTTCGTCGAAGAGGCGTGAGGAGCACGTACCATTAGAACAGATACAGTTACCTCCCGAACCAAAACACAAACATGAAATGAATGATCGGGACTCTGGTTCCTATGTGGTTAGTCCTAAGCCTGCTGAACATGCTTCGACGCCCTCGATTCCTCGCTCTCATTCAAATAAACAGGCCATACAGCAGGTTTCACATCACAAGTATGCTTTCTATAGCACGTGGCAACTTGTAGATCGAGAGAGTCGGTAAGGCGGCAGACCTTGGTTGACTTACCGCTTCCTCCGGGGTTCAGTGCGACCAGTGTAACAGATCTTTCGCGAACACCTCTCTCCGGCGCCCAGATGTCCGTAACAAAGCAGTCCCTCCGGCATTGCATATCACACAGGCCAAAGTAAGCCTTAACATTCTCGCTTTCAAATCAAAGCTCATGCGGTGCCTATTTTATTTCGGAAATCGTGCACCGGCTACCAGAAGCTCGCAGAACGTTAAGTTTTAGTAATGATGGATCTTGGTTAGAAAAGGTTCAGCTGTGATGGAGCTTCTTAATTAACACCCCTACTTTGAGTGTATTTGAGTACTCTGGAAGAGGATTGCAAAAAATGGTCTATCGATTATTTCAGAACAGGTTTATTGGGCTAAGACAACGCAAGCGATGATATTCTCCTGTCAAATCTGTTTCTGTTTAGGCGAGTCTCTAGCCTTTGTGGTCTGAAACATGAGGAGCTTGTCAATTAACGCTATGCGCTAGTCAAACACCGATTGTGTCAGTATTTTCTGACTTGATGGTTCATCTAGGCGCGTTCCTCTTCCCCTTCAGCACCAATCTATATCCACCCCTGCAAATTGTTCCTTTTTCTCAACTCCTTAGTTTACATCTACTGAACCACATCTCATTGCTCTGGCTACAAACACTCCTCCATCTCGATATGCTGTTTGTGTTCTAGGCGCTCAAGCAACATTATCGCTGTGCCTACATGCGTGGCATTGTAAACGCCCTATTCATTTTTTGCTACTTTTAGGATCTGCGAGCTCCGCAGTAAAACTAGAAACAACCTGACTTGGGGGGAACGCTCGGTCAGTGCTTTTGAGACTCTAGAGCAAGTAGGCGAGGGTACTTATGGCCATGTTTATCGTGCTCGTGATTGCTTAACCGGTGAGATTAAAGCATTGAAAAAAGTTCGTCTTGAGAACGAGCGGGAAGGTTTTCCAATAACGGCTGTGCGGGAAATTAAAATACTTCGTCAGCTAAGACATGAAAATATTGTTAATCTCTGCGAAATAGTCACCGACAAGGACAATCCAACAGACTTCAAGAAGGATAAAGGTATGTTAGTTAGGCTGTTACTGATTTCTTCAGGTGCATTCTTCCTAGTTTTCGACTACATGGACCACGATTTATACGGTCTCCTGGCATCGGGGGTGGTTACTTTTTCCGAGGTACAGGTCGCGTCATTGATGAAGCAGTTGATGCTCGGCATTAATTATTGTCATAGCAAGAATTTTCTGCATCGAGACATAAAGTGTTCCAACATTTTGATTAATAACAAGTATGGCTGCTTTTTTAATGTTAATGCTTATCAGGGGGCAACTGAAGTTAGCTGACTTCGGATTGGCCCGACTTTACTTTGCCGATGATAAAGAGCGACCGTACACGAATAAAGTCATTACGCTCTGGTATCGACCGCCAGAATTACTCCTGGGGGAAGAACGCTATGGTCCTGCAGTTGATATCTGGTCATGTGGGTGAGTCGAGACTGATTGCAGCGGTCGCTGAATGAATTGCATAAGTTGAGCTGTTCATAACTAATGGTTAAGCCTTCGATTTGGGAGCGATCTGTGCAACTTGGTTGTGGCAAACTTTGTGCTTTCAGTTGCATTCTAGGCGAGTTGTTTACTCTGAAGCCCATGTTTGCTGCCAACGAGGAGATGGAACAACTCCAAATCATTTCACGCACTTGCGGATGCCCCGATCCTCAGACTTGGCATGGTGTAGAGCGCCTTCCTATGTTCACTACTTTTCGACCCAAGTACCCGTATAAGCGTCGTTTAAGGCAGGATTATTCATTGTAGGTTGATTTTTTGGGCTCCAACTTTTAGCCTTCCCCCGATGGCACTTGATTTGCTCGATTCAATGTTAAGCCTTGATCCGCGGAAGCGCTGCAGCGCTAAAGAGGCTCTTGAATCGTCCTGGCTGAAAAACATTGAGCCTGCGAAAATCCCTCCTCCAAAGTAAGACTTTTTGTTTGATATAAAATGGCAGGGTACCTGAAAATCTTCATTGCCACGAGATGTGGAGCAAAAAACGCAGAAAGGACATGATGCAACACAGGCAAGAAATGAAGGCCCGAAAACTTGGTATCGAATCTCGAGACTCCAGTATTGTCCAGCAACCACAATCATCT